GGGATGGTGGCGAGGGGGGAAGCGTTGGTTCCGCAGGACTGTGGCTGGGGTAGCGGGTTGTAAGGAAACAGGCAGGAATTGGTGTGCCGGCGTGCGGTTTAGCGGCGACAATGTGCCGTGGGAGAGGGGGGCGGACCGGTGTCGAACCGCACCTCGCCGAGGGCGGTCAACGCACAGCATGGCAAGAACAGCCCGCTCTCAGTCAGCAGCCAGTCAAGGCCCACTCGCGCCTGAGAAGCTGGGCCCGCACCATCAGGCCCCTTTGCACAAACACACACACACACACACACACACACACACACACACACCCCAATAACCCCCCCAAACACACACAAACACACATACGCACATGACCTGCACTTGCATGCAGCAAGCATGTCTACCTCATCTCCACGCACGCACCTCTGCGTCTGACGGGTACAGGTGCACAAATGGCGCCGCCAGGTCAGCCATGCCCTGGCAGTACCCGGTCCCCGCGTCCGCCAGCGCGTATGCGAGCAGCAGCCGCTCCAGCCGCGCGACCGCGCCGCAGCGCTGCTCCCCCTGGAAGAGGGGGCCGTCGCCCGCGGTCCGGACAGAGTCGGTCATGACGCGGCGCTTGGTCACCAGCCATGGCTCGTGCGCGCCCTGCGGTGCGAGGGTGCGGGGCGGCGGGATCAGATGGAAAAAAGGCGCCACTTGGCCGCTGAGTGACTGCAGGGCCGCTGAGTGAGGATGTCCGCGACTTAAGCTGCCAACAATCGGCCAATGCTGCTTGCCCGCCCGCTCGCGCGGCGCACCCCTCGCTGCCTCACGTCGCCTTCCCCGCCGTAAAGCTCACTGCCGCCCGCCCACCGCACGCGCGGCCCCTCCCTCCGCCGGCGCCGCCCCGTCCCGCGCGCCTGCCGCTCGTAGCACTCTGCAGCCGCGACGTCGTCCCCGACCAACGCCGCCAGCCGCGCGAACTCGCCGCGCAGCGCGCCCCACTTGGCGCGCCGCGCCGCCCCGCAGTCACCCGGCGAGATCAGGCCTAGCAGCAGCGGCCAGACGTCCCGCCGCAGGTGGGGCGCGACGCCGCCGTCGCGGACGGCGCGCAGCACGGACGGCATGTCTGCCACGCGCCCTTGCTCGTCCCTGCGGGCGGCCGGCGCGCAGCGGCGCGTTGAAGGGCCGCCGGGGCGCAGGTGTCGTGTCGTGCGGCTGGACTGCAACACGCCCGCCCCTCCCCCCCTGAAAATCTCACCCACGCGACGAGCCCGCAGGTCCGGCTCGCGCTGGGGGCGTTCTGCTTTCAGGTGCTCACCTGCACGCGCGCCAGACGCCGTCGGTCAACCCCGCTGGCCCCGGCGTAATGCTGCTGCAGTTGCGTCGCCGCCGCTGTTGCCGCCAGTGGACGCGCCGCCCGCCGGGCGCCAGGGTGACGACCGCTGTGGCGCCTGTCTCGGCAATCGCCTCAGCGGCAGGCGCGCCCCCCAGGCTGGGGGTCCTGGAGTGGAAGCTGCCGCCGTCGCTCGCCTCGTCAGCGTCGCCGTCCCTGGTTGCCGTCGCTGCACCATCTGCGCCTTGCGGGAGTGCAAACCCAGATTCTGCTGCTGCTGCACTCGCCGCTCGAGGGCGCTCGCTGCTGAAGCAGCGGGCGCCAGCAAAGCCTGCAGGGTCGGTTGGCCCCCTCTGCTCACCGCTGCCGCTGGGCCCACCTCCTTGACTGCCGCAGATTGGCGATCCAGGTACAGCAGGGGAGCTGGGGCTTGACCCTATGGGTAGGTATCCGCCCAGGTTTGTCACAAGCTGCTTGTTGAAAGCGGCCAGAGCGCCCCCTGCGCCGACGCTGGCGCCGATGAAAGGCCGGCACGCGCTTGCCAGCTGCTGTTGCACCGCCCCCTCGCTTGAAATGCCATGAGGATGACCCTCCAAGGTCCCAGGGGTGGCGCACGGCTGCTCCGCGGGGCTGTTGTTGGGTCCTGACGTGCACTCTGCGCGGCGCACAGCGCCACTGCTGCTGCATCCGCTGCAGCTGCCTGAGTTCGGCTCCAGCGATCGAGAGGCATCGCGGCCGATGTGATGCCGCCAACCCATCAAAGATATGCCAGCTGCTCTGCCAGGGAAGCCCCCGTGGGCACAACGCTATGTCTGTTTTAGAACGCTGTGTCTAGATCATGGCGCCATGCCCTATGATACGAACCACAGCGATATGGTATTCATGGCAGTCCTAGACCGCTGGCCCATGCCAGCGCGTGGGAACATACGAAAACCTTCCGAAAACCTTACGATGGCACAGTACCGTACCTGCCACGTCCCTGATGAGCTCATCTTAACAGCTGCCTAGTGATTACAGGCGTCGGCATGCAAACTCACCTACGTAACCCCAGGATCAGTTAGTTGCACCGCGACATCAGGGCCCGCTTTCACATGATGTGTCGCGTTGACTAAGCCAATGCTTCGACCACTGCCATGTGCCTCCTGTGGGCGCAGCTGTGGGGTGCCACCTCATTCACACAAGGCATGTCGGGGGTATTTTTGATGGGCGAATATTTTGCATGTGGTGCTGCACAGTAACAACTGACATGAGGAACACCACACGTCAATTACTGCTCTCATGTGTGCCAAGTTCGATGATTGGCAAGTGAGTTGGGCGAAAAGGGCATAAATGGCAACGTTGAAAGAAGACGTCATGATGGCGGCGCTGCACGTGTTGCAACAATCAAAGGCCTGACTGGCTCACCAACGCAAACGCCAGCCGCATTTCCCCATCCGCCTCTTGGACGTACATGCGGCTCGGCGGCTGCGGCACAGCCCCCGCCGCCTCCGCCGCCCCGCTCGCGGCGCCGGCGCCGCCGCGCGCACGGCCACGCGCGGCGCCGGCGCCTCGCGGAGCGCAGAGCAGCACCCACTCCCTGTGACAGGGTTCCCCCAGGTCCATCGCGCGCGCGCCCTCCTGCGCCCCCCCGCCGCCGCCGCCGCATGCAGCGCCGCCGCCGAGGCCGCTCAGCGACGAGCTGCGGCGCCGCAGGCTCAAGCCGTAGCCATGCTGCCCCGCCGCCGCGGCCTGCTCCAGCCAACCGCCGATCGCCAGCCGCTCCTCCGGCCCCGCCTCCGCAACAGGCATGAACGCGACCCCGGCCAGCGCCAGCCCCCCCG